ATTTATTTATTCATTTATTATCAGTGTGCGCCATGTGGGCCACACATTGTTGATTTATTTATTTTATTATGTAATTTATATTTTGGTTGTGCCGCTGTAGGGCCACCTTGCATTTATTATTATTATTATTATTAGTATTATACTATATTTTTATTATACAGTCCACTTATTATTACAAATTTTGTATAATTATTAAGGCGAACAAGCCAGCCCTATAAAATTGTTGGGCACTTTCCGCGCCTACAACCCCTGAATGTTTTGACACTAACATTTAGAAAAATAAAATATCTTCGTATTTCATATGAAAATATAATACCACGATAATTTTAATAAAATATTTTACTTCCATCATAGGAAAAATAAAATTAAAAAAACCAATGAAATTAAATGATCTATACAGTGCCTTACTTTGACCGGTCACCGACAACACAGATATAGCATTGAGTGAAAATAGTTAAGACTACATTTTATAAACTTAACCAAAAATATGACAACGAGAAATGGTTCAGGAATAAAATGTATACATTTTCAAGACGAATAAAACTCATGACAAATATAATAATAATTATTCTATTATATGTAATTACTAATTAGAATATTAAAGTAATATTATATTATATAGTATAGTAAAAATATATTCATCGACAACATATAGCTATATTGCATACACAATGCGCCTACTAACCATACGTTATACTACAAATACACGATTATTATGTTTAAATATTGAAAATAACGTTGATCTAAAACCAATATATATTAGGTAGTACTATACATTTAGTAACTTAAACTGTAAAACTAACATACAATTTTCATTAAAAAATCAAACAAAATAGTAATACAATACTTAAAAATGAAAAGAAAATGACTAAGTAATAAGTATATTAGAATTTTCTTCATAACATTTTAATTCCATAAATAACATTTATCATGCTAAAATGTTATTTACATTATATTTATAAATTATGCTATTCTAAAGTAGACTGAGGTAAAAAATAATCTTATTAATTTTTAAATAATTATTAAAGTTGGTATATCTATCACAAATACTTATTTTGGTTCATTGGTGTACTTAGTGTATTTATTTGAGGCCGTACTTATTTCAGTTTAGTAACTTGGAAGATAATTCCAAAGTCAAGTGTTTTTTTTTTTTCATTCATTGCCCATGAATTACCAAATAAATCAATTATTTATTAGTGATATGTTTATTTTAAATTAAATTTAAAAAATTATCTAGGTAACTTATTTTTTTTATTTAAATGATTTCTTGAAAAAAATGACAGATCAAATAGAAAAAAAAAAACAAGTATTGGTACTTTCTACCTTACGTAATATGTTATTCGGAATGTCACGCGTCGTTGTTTATATATGTATATATGTATATATATGAATGCTAGGAATAATCTCAATAATGTAATAGATTTCCCATTGTGATATTACGATAATTTAAATATAAGTCTAAAAATATAATAAACGCTGTATACTCGTATTATGGACTATTATGGAATATTATGGTATATTGACTATGTTGTATACAATCCATATAAGTTTGTCTGCGCTTGCTTGTCAATGTTCTTTATTTCTACGTTCTCTGTATTTATAATTTATACAGTGCTGTTATAATATTATTATTATTATTACGTATAATAACTCGTTTATATATGTCGTCAAATAATAATCGTATAACTAGTTATTTTGTAAGTATTCAGAAAAAATGTAAATATCAATCTAATGAAGACGGTACACATGAGTCAGAAACAATTGCAATCTCAAATCCGACAGATACGAATTGTTCTGATACAAATGAGTTATTTAATCCAATAGAAAATGAAAAACTTCATGATATTGAATTAGATATTGGACATTTCATAACTCAAACTAACGTTATAAATGATTATTCGAAATCAGTCATTCTTCAACGAAGTAATGTTCATAGTGATGATTTTCAATAACCATTTTCAATTCATACTAAAAAAGGTAAATCGGAAAAATAATTTTTAAGGAAAAATCACTTTGAAAAGTTTCCATACATTTAGTTTTCAAAAATCAAGTCTGGTTTATTTGGTAAGGTTTGTGTTTTGTTTTCAACTTCAACCAAAGGGGGTATGCATAAAACAGAGCAACTAAAAAGATTGATTACTGAACCAGTGATTAAATTTGCAAAGCTATTAAAGAAAGATGGTATTTTAGAATTACACAATAATAATGGTTATCATAAAGATCATACACAACGAGTAAATGACTTTTTGAATACCTACAATCATCCTGAAAAAGAAGTTATCAATTTAGTAAATGATCAACGTAATAAACAAATATTAGATAACCGTGAACGATTACGACCAATAATAAAAACGATTGTTTTCTTAGGCCAGTAAAATATACCGTTGCGTGGTCATCGTGATGATGGTTTTATTTATCAAGAAGATGGAGGAAAAGTTGATTTTGTTATTAATCAAGGAAACTTTAAAGAACTTCTTAAGTTTTGAATTGATGCTGGTGACTTTTTACTTAAAAATCATTTGAAAACTACTGGTGAAAGAGCTACTTACATAAGTAAATTAACACAAAATGAAATAATCGAGTGTTGCAAACAAGAAATATTACATTTAATACTGTTAGAAGTAAAAGAAGCAAAATATTTTAGTATTCTATTTGATGAGACCACAGACTTATCTAACATTTTTCAAATGTGTTAAATTATTCGGTATATTTTACACGGAAAATCATAAGAACGATTTTTAACATTTATTGATTGTCATAGCTATGTTTATAATAAACAAAAACACCAACAATTAGATGTTAATTTGGAAGACGACGATGAACCTCAAGAAATATTAAATAGTAAATTCGAACCTAAATAAACTGGAGAACTTTTGGGAAATACAGTCGTAAAACTATTGCAAGAATTAGAATTAGATTTAAATTACTGTGTAGGCATTGGAACCGATTGCTGTTCTGTTGTGGTATCTGCAGTCCGTGGCGTTGTCCAACGAATTAGAAAAATTGCTAAAAATACAATACATAGTATCGAAGAAAAATTGAATGGGCTAGCATTACTTCACATTCATAAAGATATTCCTATAGGTATATAAAATAATATTACGCGTTTTGCTAAACAAAAAAAAAATAGATATATACTTTTATTTTAGATTTTTATTATTACAATAGTTGATTAACTGTGCATCTGTGACAATACTTTTTATTATTATTTTTATTTAATTATAAATACAAGGTGAACCTATTTTGGATAATTTCATAATATACTATGTATAATAAAAAATATTTGTTCTATTTGAAATATTTGTATTATTTCAAAATATTGGGGAAAAATTATGGGCCCTCCAACGACTCATTATTGTCCTATGATTTTTATAATTTCCGCCCCCCCCCCTCCTTAAAAGTCAGTTATAACCACCACTGATAATATAGTATTATTATTACATTTCTAATGTAATTGCAGATATCTAAAAAATCTAAAACTTAATTATATTTGTAATAGAAGTGCAACGCCAGCCAATGTCCATTTTGATGATTTGTCTTTACTTTTAAGACTAAATGTCCACACATAAGTCGGACCTCGTGTTCGCGTTTTGTACACTGGACATTCATAAACATTCCGTGAATCTTGTTTGTCTTGTGTAATGGCCTGCAAATAAATTATATTATGAAATCGATTTAACCACAAAAATTACTATTAATAAAACCTATGCAATAATATATTATACATTACAATGTATTAAAATAGTTTATCAACAATTTAATACTAAATAAAATGTTAACACTCTCCATCGACAATGATTAGACGAAAAATACTGCCAACTAACGGTTGAATTAAAAATAATAATTGTTTACCAACCCGAACATTAATAACGGGCATTTCAGGAAATAGTTCTTTTAGTTTCGATTCCATTATAACTCCTTGCAATATATCCCATCTGGCACCTTCCATAAAAAGTCCATGAATATATGCTCCATCTCTGGCAGCTCCACTGAAATATTATATTTATAGATGTCACGCAAAAGCTACTTGCGACAAAAATGGCTACCTGAATTCTTCCTTTTGTTTTTTCGTAACATCACATTGTAGACACATTTTGTCGAGAGGTAATTCGTGTTTTCTCGCAGTACTTTGCATGATCGCCGTCAAAAAAGATTGCGGATTAAAAAAACCAGACAGCCAGACTGACGTGGGAACCTTATCAAAAATATTGCATTACTTTAATTAATGGCTGCATCCGAATTGTGTTCCGAATTATTTTAGGTATACACTAATTCCTGAATATTTTTTGTAAGTACTACATTATACTAACATTTTCCTTCTCATTTTAACAGACTTAAGACTGTCTATGATTTATTTAGACCACAGGTATGGTTAAAAATGTTTTTTTATAGTTTTTTTTTTAGTTTCTTTTCCATTAATTTTTATTTATATTATATAGGTAATGATTTTAAAATTTTTAATATTTTTTAATTTTCCTATATGGCTATAATTATATTATATAATATGTATTTTTATACTTGATTTCTAACATTTTTAATATTTTTACCAATACAATTGTAATAATTTATATTTTAATGGAAAAGAAACTAAAACACAAAAAAAAAAACTATAAAAAACATTTTTAACCATACCTGTGGTCTAAATAAATCATAGACAGTCTTAAATCTGTTAAAATGGAAAGGAAAATATTAGTATAATGTAGTACTTACCAAAAAATATTCAGGAACTAGAGTAATACCTAAAGTAATTCAGGACCCAACTAGTGTAGTACCTATAAAAATCCGGGACCCAACTAGTGTAGTACCTAAAATAATTTGGAACCCAACTATTGCGTTGAAACCCGATTGAGCACGATCCATATTTAATAACCCAATTGAACACAGTTAAACGAATGCAACGTTGCCAGTTTTTCTATCCGACTACAACCAGGCTACAAGCGTATTTTGAAATATTCATATACGTAATTGTTGAGCTTTATAAGTCGTATGGGACATACTTAACCGTAGAGCATACTGCATGGTGATTATTTTCATTCGTGGTTTCCCATCTCTTGAAAAGTGGCACGAGTCTAAGAAAAATCGATAAATAATATAAGAGTTGTTTAGGAAACGACATAATCGTAAAATCAAAATAGGTACATCTATGCATTGGCGATTACTATTATCTGTTAAATTGGATATTATTTGTTATCTACACAAAATATTGAAAAGGGCATTTGTATTGTTAGCTGTAGTAACTTAGACCCAATACTATCAGACGTTAGTGGTTAGTGGCTGTTCGTCGTTACACCGTTATATTTTAGATATTTTTACTTTTTTTATATACGTTGAACGCGATGGAAAATAATGAAATAAAAGTTATTGTATCAGAGCGAGGAAAAGAATTAGCCAATGTTGGAGCTTTTAAGTAGAGATTTATTGGATTCATAAAAAAAAAGGCGATGCACGTAAAATAATTGTACAGCTATGATTTAATCTGGGCCACATAAAAATATTGTTATTCAATCAAGTGGACAACATAATCATGTAGAAAATTCATCTAGTAAATTAGAAAGGCAAGTATAACATGAAAATTAAAAAAGACGTGCTGAAGAGTCACTGTGAATTCAACCTTTAAAATTGATCAGAAACGAAATTTTAAATAATTTAGAACTATATTCAATTGTTCATAAAGATTTAAAAACAGTTCGTAAGGCTATGTATGATAGACGACGAAAAATACTTCCCGAATTGCCAGTCACTGGAAGACGTTTTTTTTACAGTTGAATTTAATGAAAACCCAAGAAGATTTTAAGTTTCATTGACAACCATTTATACATATTCCTGCAGACAATAGTTTTACATGTATTACTTGTGATTTCAACCTAAAATTTATGATTAACAGTGTTGTGCATTATATAGATAATTTTATCTAGATGATTTATTTAAATAAAAACATTTACCTTTTTATCTTATCTAGATAATAATAATTTGAAGTATCTTTTTATCCATCTTTTTAAATAAAATGGTTATCTAAGATAAATTATCTAGATAATTTTGAAAAAGATAATTTTTTTTTTTGTGGGAAATGAAACGAGGAATAATAAACACTTATTATTACCGAAATTCAAACTTAAGAAACTCAAGCTTAAACGATGACGAAAATTCGGTCAGTTGAAACTGACTGTCATAAAAATATGAGTTTTATTGAAATGCAAAAAATTAATGCAACTATAATGGCTTACAATGAATATTTAAAAATTAAACATTCTAAATATTTACTAAAATATTTATTTAAAGTGGGAAATAATTATTTAGGGATACCAATTTAAAACGTTGACACGTAATTAAAATTTTATAACATAATACAAATATTATTTATTATAATAAGTATTTCTTATTTTATCATATGAATTTTTTTTTTTGCATACATTATTATTTAAAAAAATGATATTATGAATTGCATCTAAAAATTAACTTTTAAATTAATCTGTTCTGGACATAAATTGTATATATATTTGTAAAATAATTTAATTTTATAGTTTTATACACTAATAGATACTTTGATGATTATTATAAAATAAATCTTGTAAATATTTCAATATTTTTTTAAATTATTATTTTGTTGTGTGGGACGGCAACATTGTACGTATTTCTATGCTCAATCGGGTTCCAACCAACTATTATAGTGTAATGATGTGCATCATTCTATTGTAAAAGATGGCACAAATATTTTATAATAATTTATACTATTTATATATACGTGATTTTTAAACCATTTCAAATAAATAAATAACGGTATCTTCGATACCCGCACGAATAACACGGGTCGAACAATAAATACTATTGACATCCCTACATTCAAAGGACTGCCCAAGATCCATGCCGCCGCATGTCTCTATATAACAGAGACACACACCACCCTTCCAAGAGCTCTTGATCTTAGGTAGTCAGTGCATACGCACCGATCATGAGATTAACGAGACAGTTTATATGTACGATTTATTTTGACTTATAATTTTAATCCGTTCGACTTATGTTTTTCGTACGAGCGTTGAAGAGTATCCGGTTCCAGTGCAATTAAATTCTGCATTTGTCCTTTTTTTTCAACCTCGTATCGATATCTGAAGGACTACGGCAAAACAAGTGAGTGCTGCTTTATTTGGCTTGGCAGACTACATTTGAGCTGATCGGCTCTCGAACCTTCACAACCCTGAGAGCCCTCCCTTAAACAAGGAGGAAGGTAACAACCCTTTAATACATTAATATCTCACCGCCATTTCATTCATATATACCATCTCCCCCACCTTTATTTTTTTTGTATTTTTGGGTTATTACATTAGTACCTATAAAAGTCTGGGACCGAACTAGTACACTACCTGCGATTAACCCTTAGAACTCGTGACCCAACTCGGATATTCCGTAATTAATTCATCGTATGTTTGTCATGTTTAATTTCTTGGTATTTTATAATTTTTCATTGTTATATGTACAAATTTATGAAAGACTATAATATATTTATTTAGAATTTGCATAAAGCTTATAGGTAAGTTAAACATACGATTTTTGTGCACAATTTATACTTATAATATACGAAATGTCCCATTATTCCATTCAAATATACACTTACGACAAAATCAGTGGTCCACGTTTCTAACTCTCTAATTCGCAACAAAAGGTCAGAAAACCACGCCCCGAGTCCAAGGAGAGACGGATAAGCTCGATTCATCCATACCGATGGAATTTGATCTAAAAACAAGGCGGTTTCCAAGTCTTCCATGTCCGAAGTAATAGTCAATTCTCCCTATAAATAAATAAATTACATTGATTAATATGTTTCTTTGATGTTCACAATTTACCTTAAGTCCGAGTTCAAGTTCTTTCAGAGACCGCTTCATTTCACTAGTAAGGAAATTCATCCGTTGACATTCTTGAAACGCAACAATCACATAGGGTGTCCTTTCTTCTACTTTGCCCATCATTTCGAGTATGTTGAATTCTTCGGGTAACTTTTCTAATGTTTCATCAACGATTTGTTTTACCTGAAAAAAAATGTAAAAACAATTTTTTTTTTTGTGAAAATATGGATCAACATAAAAGTTATAATTTGAAGATAATTTCATAAATCTTATTATTATATTGTTGTATTTAGAAAAAAATTAATTTAATATTACTGAATAATTAAGTAATACAATAAATCAAAAATGGTAATTAATCGTAAACGAACATATAAATAAATAGTTTAGATAAAAAAAATAATTATTTAATTTATTAATGCTTAGCCTGGAATATTATCATATTTATAATATATAACTGGATTCGAATTAAATTAATTCAGAATCAGGTATCTATATAAAAAGCCAATAAAATCGTAACTTTTGAGTTTAAGGATTAATTAATTTATTTATATATACTCATATAAACTATTTATTTATTTAATATTATTTGGTATATCAATATGGTTTTTTTTTTTTTTTTAAAAAAAAAGCATCAACAACAGTGAATAGGTGAAACTTAAGAAACTTACTTTGTCTTCTCTTGTGACATTTGTACCTCCAATGGCACCGGCTTCCCGAGGTTGCATTTCAAATACAGTTCGAAATAAATTCTCGGAAGTTGTACTCATAAAGCCGATTTCTGCGTTTGGATGCAAACCATATAAAACCGGACTCTCTGCAGGTAAAACTTCATCTATATATGTGTGATATCCTTGATAGTCCGTATTTGGAGGTGCGGGAAACCCTGGAGCTAAGTGAAGATCTCCGTCGACCTGTAAATTAACAAAAATAATTTATAATAATAATAATTTAATTTTATAATTAATTTACAATCATAACTGTAAGTATGACTTTAATACTTGTTGAATTTTTGTAGCAATGTAATATGCTTCTATTATACAATGACCGTGGTCAAATTTTCTACTAATATTATAATATATTATAACATTACTAATATTTTACTTCAAAATAATTGACGTGGTTTTCTTAAAACAATAAATATAAGAGAAGATTAAAATTATGTAAGATACCCGTTTACTACGTACTAACCCGTATACTACATAAATTTGTCGAATCACCTAATAACCCTTTCAATATTAACGTACTCGGACTAAGAAACTATGGATTCAGTAGTTCTATTATACCATATAATTAAAATCATTATAATGTCTCAATGTAAAAAACTTCAATAAAATTAATTAAATAAATATTAATTGTAACAATTCATGATATTTTGAGTATTTTGTTTAAATAGATAATATTAGTGTACAAGCAACTTATACTTATCATATATTCTCACTGCTAGAAATATACCTTACATAAATTCATATTTAGTCCAAGAACATATTTAGATTAAATTTAACGTAATACCCATGTAAACAAAATAACAGATTTAAAATTATAATATATTAACATTGACTATATATTCAGAGATGACATACGGTGTAATAATATTACAGGTTCCATAGAACCTATATTCTAACTATTAGTAGAAATAAAAATAAAAAAAGCTTAAGTTATTTCAATTTATTTACCAAGTCTGGCTGCATCAATTCCTCTAAATAGGATATGCACAATCTTCTATCCCAATCATCTGTTATGTGACCACCGTACATGATTTCACCGAATAAATATCGTAGATCCTCCCACGGTACTTTATTATTAGCCTCTAGGTAGTTGAACAGGACGCTTACACTGATATTCAAATCACCTATTACCAAACGATAATAAAATAATAATGTTTAATCAGTAATCAGTTCAAGTTGTGCGCTACATTTCACTACGTACCGACATTAAATGGATAAATCTTATTCCACCCTTGCGCGCCGAATTTCCTACGCTCTGCAACTACGGCGTGGAAGTAACAGAGTGAAAATAGAATTGCTTTAAACTCTGCTTCTTTTGACGACATTTCCAACGTTTCTTGGTTAAAATTTTCCAGCGCTTTATGCAAGTTCGCTTGCATGCCCGTCGGAGGCTCATTCGTAATTTTTATACATGATTCTAAAATACCCTATTATAATAAAATTATTAATAATCTTATAATAGCTACATAAGGTTTTAAATTATTTCCACTGTTATATTTATTATCTCAATGAAATTGCAACTTTAGTTAAAACTATTTTTAATTTTATACTTTTCTTATGTAACCATTCACATTCCAAATGCTTATTTAAATATTTAATTTAAATTTTAGATCATTAATATTAAAATTACAATAAACCAGCACACATACTTGTGGAATAATGTGTGCAGATGCTGTGGCTGCTGGTTCAGCACTTAAGAACAGCCGATAATTCGGATGAGCTGTTTCTCCGAGTAATTCCATTTTCTTTTCGAGTGTCGGTAGCCATTTCTTAACCAAATGTATATTCTTAAATAAAAAAATATTTAATTTTAAATTTGATCAAGCAAAAAATATTCATTTTTTAATTGTCAATTTAGGAATGGCATTAATAGTTTAGCCAAATAATACAAAATTAATTTTTTGATTATAATGATAACACAAAATGTAATTAATATATTATTTTGTAAAAACATTTCTTGATACAAATTGTATTCTATATTAACATTAATATACTGTGGAAAACGCAGGGAGGGGTTTTAGGGGTTCAAACCTCCCTCCAAATGAATGGATGATTAATTTCTAACGTAGCTATTCTACCTTATGCACCTTGAAAAAATTAATTGGTCAAAAGACGATTAAAATATGTTAGAAAAAAATAATTTCAAATTTTTAGTAAAAAAAAAGTGAATCTGTAATAATTTGTAATTTTCCAAATATTCTCAAAGGTATTGGTACCTTCAAATCAAAAGTTTGAAATCGCATGATGATAATACTTCTGGAAAATTAATGAGTCTAAATCGTTCCACCATGATCACTTCGCCGCCGTTCATTTCGCAACATACTATATTTTTCGTAAAACGTCAATAAAAAAAAATTTGGTAGGCTACAAAATTTTGAGATTTTGGTACAATATTCCTCGTAAATTTTTCTTACTTGCATGAAAAAATTTCAAAAAATCTGTATTCACAATCTTCAATAGTAATCGTTTGAATTTGAACTGTTGATAAAAATCACGGTCAATTTTTGGTAGTTAAAAGTTGATTAATATTTTAAAGTGTTAAATCAAGATTTGAAAATATAATACAATGTACTAAAGAAATCGCTCTTTCCAGTGAATTAAAAAAGTTTACCAAATCGGTGCACACAAATGTTATAAACGTTAGAAAATTATATTTTGATGAAATCGGGTGTTTACGTAATTATTAGGAAAAGTGTTAAGAAATTAAAAAAAAATACCTATCTAGTCTCTAATGAACCAACTAGTAACATTTGCTATCAAAAACCACCCCTAAAGTTGTTAATAGGATTATTTTAAAAATTTGAAATCTCTGAATTTGTTTCATAATGTTTACGAACATGTTTGCTCATCATTGGAGGAACTTAACGAGAACAGCACTAAAACTGATGCATTTATCATGTATATTCATGCATATTCATGCATACTTCATGGAGTACAACCTCATACTTCTCAATTTATTATACCTTTAACAATATTCAAGCCAATATTAACTTAACCAAAAATCATAGCGTATTTTGGCAAAAAGAAAATTGTGATTTAACCCACTGTGTAAATTACGCTAATAATTTGTACGAAGAAATCCACGATATGCATCAAAATTCAGAAGAAAAATGTAATAGTATATTTGTGAAATAGCAGATACAGTTTATGTCCATTTAGTAGTTCCTCAGTACGTCGGACAACAGCAAAACCGTAATAACTATGAAGGAATTCCCGAAATATACTACCATCAATCCATTTTTATTTCATTTATAGACCACTTATTAAATCAACTCAAATCCAGGTTTCTCAACCATCGTAAATTACTTTAAAAAAAAAAAAATATTTTACCAACAAAGTACAGTGAACTGATTACGAAAGAAATAGTCGTAACAGTCAATACGTTCAGAAAAAAAGTGGCCAAATGACATAAAAGGATCTGATGAAAATTTAGAAGCAGATATCACAATGTGACGCAGGTAACTTTGTTTCTTATTATCTTAGATATTCTTTATTATTTATATGAAAACTTATTTATATTATTGTTTTAGATATTATTCAAATACGTCTGAAGAAAAGAGGCCAAAAACATTTATTGATGCCTTAAACTTTTGTGACTCTACGTTATATCAGTTTATACATTGATTTTTCCAAATTGGAGCAACCCTTTCCATTTCGGTTGCTTAGAATGAAATATCATTCTCTCGTCTTCGTAGATTAAAAACCTATTTACGAAACAAGACAGTGGAAAACCAATTGAATGAGTTAGCATTATTAAACATACATATTTTAGATATTATGGCAAAAACACCGAAGATGGTGAATATGATTTTATAATTTTTATAACTAACAAAAATATAATAAATAATTATTTCTAAATAACGGTAATTATTCTAATTTTTTCAAAACCCCTCACGACATTTTTTTTCAGCGTCCACTAATATTATATAAAATATTCAAGCTTTATGTGGTTATAATACATTATTAGATTAAAAAACTGACTTTAAATTAATTATGCGCAAGAAAATTTTGGATAAAATTAATTAATTTAAACTGCTACAATCAGATATTAATATAAAATTAATATAATACTTACTTGAAGAACAACCCAATGACCATTTTTAGCAGCAATTTCCATAGCAATTTCAGCTACAACTTCTTGACCTTGACCTAATGAGACATTGTGAAAATTGTTTAATGCTGTTGAAATTCCAAGTTTGTGCCCCAAATCTTCGACATCCTATATACAAATTGTTAATAATAATCATAAATTACACTTAATCAGTTTCTACTTTATAAAATACTCATAAATTACTATTACTATTGTCTATTTTTATATTTTTTTTCAAGTAAGTAATTTTATTTAAGCAATAACATTAAAAAAAAAAAATTTGAATGTTACAACTAGAAATATGTAAATTCATATAAAAATTCGATAATTTTTGTATTTGAATTCAAAATTTAGTTTACACTGATAATATATCCAAAATATTTTTTGTAATTATAAATATATACTCATTATATTTTCATATAATAATACATTACTTTTAATGGGTTCACTCCTGGAGAAAGAATAAAGAAAATTGGTGTTGTTGGACTAGTTTCTTCAAATGACTTGGCAAAATCAACACTTCTACCTTCTACATACTTTGAACCGAGTTTTTCTTCAATGAATACCCTTATTAATGTATAAATGATATTAATTTAACATAGTTAAAGAGTAACTGTTGTGTTAAAATTCATCATGATCATACAATTCATGATTCTGAATAATCCAGAATAATTTATAATCTAAGTACTATCACAACAAATTGATATACTTACGACATGGCATAAGTCATTCGATCTGGTCTTAATGCTCGCATCATCATAAGTCTATGTAATGATACTTTGTTTTTCCATTCCTGAGGGAATTTCTCACGTTCTGGACAGTCTGATTCAATAAATTTTTTCCATCTTTTAGATGATGTTTCAATATCACGGTCTAAATTCCTTAGAAAAAAATACATTTTTAAAAATATATTTTAGATTAGATACATAATTTAGAAATTTTTATCATTTTATTACATTTATTATTTACCTGAATTCATCTTTAGTTGACAAACTGCGAACACCAGACCAACTAGAATTTGACAAAAATTCTACCGGACTACTTATATGTTGAGCTGTTGGGAATCTTAAAAAGAAATCCAACTCTTGTGGAGCTATCTCTTCGCTCATTAATAATATCTGTTAAATATAGTACTTTAATATGACAAAATATATCTAACGTTATGTATTTGATAGTATATTTGAATTAGATTTTGATATTCTAAAACAAAATAATAACTAAATATTCTGAACTAAACAGTTTTATTTTTAAAAAATAATTACTAAAATTAAATTATGAAAATGTATAACATTTGTTTATCACTTATTTTAAATAAAATATAATTGATTATCAGGGGCGTATTTTTGGGAGATCGCCACCCCTGAATTCGTAATCGAATAATAATAGTAATAATATTAATGGTATTCGGAATCGATCATGTGAGATAGACATTTCAAATTTTTTTTAATGTGGATCATTTTATAACGATATTTAGTGTCTGTACCATGGCACTTGAGCTTGTGAGTGGTGTCGGCAGGCGTAACGAGTGAAGTCCTAAAATTTTTAAAATTAAAGTTCTGATTTTTCGAAAAAAAAAATGCAAACAATTTTCATTACGATAAGAGATCAAAACTAGATACAAAATATCGTTTCTTTTATATTAATATTTTAATAATTATTGACAAAAATTGTACATCATTATTTTATTATTTTAAATTTATTATATAAATTTTTGTTTTGGTCGAAAAGGCAATCGGCTTATTTTAAATTTGGTCGAAAAACGTCCCATAACGGTAAATAATATATATTATTTTGATTTAAGCTCTGGTACATACTTAGTGAAAAATCAAATAAAATACAAGGAAAACTTTCAAAGCATAGATTGGTGTTAAAAAAGAACTACACAAAAGTCCATTCTAAATGGAATCGGTATTAAATTAAAAAAAAAAAAAACAACAAATATTAAGGATTCGCCTGATTTAAATATTACCTACAATTTTACTTGTAAATATTAAGTCTGAATTAAAAAAAATTTGAGTCGCTCCCCCCCCCCCCGAAGTGAGTTTAAATACGCCCCTCCTGATAATATGGTTACTTATTTATTTTCTTGAAGTACAATTATTAACATTGATGTCATTACTTCATGTTAATCACATGTTTTTTTTACTTCTTATGAGAAAATATTATTTTTTTCAATCAACGACAAAAGTACACAATTATACACTTACTTGGAATGTCATTTGTGATGCAAATATAAGCTTATCACACTCGAAAAGCCCTCTTGAAGTATACACAAATACGAAATAAGTAATACAATCAATCAAATTGTTCACTCGTAATGATACACTTTCGGCTGGGATTGATTTTTCGATTGCGTTATTGAACACCACACTGAATGCCTATAATTTTTAATTTGGTATAATCTAAAGTATGAAATACTACAATAGTATTTTCCCTCTTTTTCTTTACCTTTAATGAAAATTGGTAAACCAGATTTATTGTATTAAGTTCATTGAGTATAAAGTATAACAAACTAGCCCTTGCAGCTGCTGGCCTATAATGTTCTCTGGCTTCGTCAATTTTTTCTGATGTAATTTTTGCCTCAGCTACTTTTTGTTGTATCTCTGCGGCAGTTCGTTTTGTAGTTTCCAAGTTTTCTACCAAGGCTGTATCGCTCAGTATATTATCTTTAAAGCAAGAAACACGTTTAATTTAACTGAATTTTATCACACTTATTATATACACATTATAATCAATTTAAAACAATATTAGCATGGCAATCGATCATCTTAATCATACTATTATTAAATATTTCAAAAATTTTTCTTGTCAAATACGTTCAGTTTATTTAGAATACAATTGATCACAAATTGTAATTACATTAAAAATTGAATATAATGATTGAACATAATAATAAAAGCTAGTATGGCACGAAGAGTTTTTTCATTCCACTATTTTTAATTATTAAAATTATAACACAAATATAATAATTTATAATAATTGTTTTATCTGTGGATTGAAAATCAAATTTAACATAAATCTTCTCTATTCTAATACATGGTTATTTTTAATTACTCTACATTTTTTAGATATACTATTACGATGGCTGAAATAAATAAATATATCGTTATAATCAATAAATAGTATACATTATTTTAATATAAAGAAATGTTTTAAAAATTACTTTTTATATTCAAAATTATTAATTTAGAAAAAATGAAAATTATTGAAATATTATTTAGTATTATTTATTAATTAGTTATTATTACTGAATATTATCATAATTATAATTGTATTTGAAATTAGACATTTCGCAAAAAAATTAATTAAATAAATACATAAATAAGATTAGAGTTAAAGTATACCTCCAGCTGAAGACAATCGTGATAGTAAATCATCTTCTAATTTTTTTAACATAATTTTAAAGTCATTTTGTTGTTTAGTTAATTCCGCCTATAAGTAAAAATCATAATTTAATTATATTTCCATAAATGAATAGTTCAAGATCAGTATAAATTACTTTAAGTTGTTCTAAATCAGGTCGTTCGGCTTTTACGACTTCAGCAAGTAGCTGATCTTCTAAACCATCCCTGGTGACAGTAAAGTTAATCAGAGTTGTTTGAGCTTGCATTTCAGGTTTATAATGCGGGTTAGCTAGTTTGGTATGAAGCAACAGACGAAACTCTTGATTATATTCAACCTCTTTGTCTCCCATTTTAATAGCTCTGTTATTGTAAATAAGTATTCAATTAAAAATTAACATATAATAAATCACCTACAAATAACAAATTCAACTATATTTTTATAACTATATAGCACGTATTAACTACACTTACTTTCCTTTTTTTAATAAGATTACGACCTAGTAAAGGATCTAAAACAGGATCTAAATTTTCTTCAATATTTTCAAGTAATACTATTTTTCCAGTAATGATACTCTTTTCTAATTCATCCATCGATCCTTTTTGTCCTAAACGCAGTACTATTAAATTTTCTCCATATTTCTGTTTAATCCATTTAACACCTTGCAACTATAATATTTTTCAAAAAAATAAACTAAAATATAGTAAAACGTATCTTCAAAACTAATTAAAATGCTGTGTCATATAATTATTTAACAAAGTATTATAGTTTATATATCAGATAATTTAAGTAAATATAGCATTTTCGAAGCAAAAATATATTTTTAAATTATTTTGTATTGGATGACTTTTTTGTTTTAATTGTCTATTGAATACTTTTTAGTTTTATTTTTAATATATAAATTACAATTTTTAAAGTAGATTTTAGATATTAAAGTTTTAAAGTGATTGGTGTTTTTTAGTAGTTGTGACAGGTGTCGCGTCCTGCGTAGTCACACAATAATAATTACATAATAAGGGAGTTCTAGGAATATCAAAACTACACACGTGGATAAGTTAAATTATTCACATGGTTATTTATACAAAAATTAAAATAAGAATATGAATATCAAAACCACACCCGTGGATAAGTTAAATCAAAATAATAGTGACTACATCCTGGATCTTTGCATTAGTAAATATAGGCTGGTCAAGAAATAGTACCCACACACAGAATCAATAAGGAATTATCATATTTTTATTATCATTTTTATATATACACACACACACTTGCATATATCAGATATAAAAGGGACCTGGAAACAAGGGCAAAACAGACGAATTTTGGTTATGCGACACTGAGCACCTTCACGCTAGTGTATGTCATGGTATGGACTTAGAAATATTTTAAATATTGTAATACTTAGAAATGATTTTCAATAGTTTAAATATTTGGACTTAGAATTTTAACAGCTAACTTTAATTTATTGTACTTAAAATAATTTTAACAGTTTAATAAACCAACTAATCATAAATAGTATTAATTATTTCATTATACCTACATCCAAGCGTTGGCTAGACTGAACTAGTAACTGAAAATACGATCAAACGGTTGACACGCAACACAGATTCATAATATTAAAATCAAAAAAAATTCATTAAATAAATAATTGATTAGATTTTTTGCTTAAAATAACCTTGTCAGTATCTAATGTAATAATTTGAATTCATTTTTTAAACATAAATAATGAAATAATTCTGTATAATATTCATAATTACAAATTACATTTTTTATTTTTATTTTTTAATATTTAAATATTTTGAATATTTTTAAAATAAAATAATTTATTAAAATCAAAAAGTTTTATATATATATATATCTTATTATGAGTCATATTTTAAAGTTTAACAATGTTTCAGTTATTATGATTTTGGTAATTCCAGAACAACTGAAAATTGTATTAATATTATAAATTGGTTAACAAATGTGTTTTTCATTACACTACTTATTGTCATATTTTCAATGTTAAATAAATGAATAGATACGATTTTAAAAGATTAAATATTGAAAATATAAATATTTTCTTAGAAATTTGACAAAATATAAATTTCATTTATTGAATCATAGTTTTTAAAAAAAAAAATTGGGGTAAACCATCACGGATTTGATAAGTATTAAACTATTTAATCAATACTTAAAATATATTTTACTTGTGGATCGATCATTAATGGCCAGCGATCAGAGTTAGATAAAATAGTTGCATTTTCTGTTGACATACGATCACTAGGTAATCCTTCGTTATTCCAAATTGCTACTTGTGTGTCATCAGTTAATAAGGTCAAAGGATCTAAACCTTCTGTGATTGGCACAGGAGGCTGAAAATCAAAGTTTTATAAACATTGAGGTAATCATATTTTAATTTAAAAGTATAAGTAAACATCAGAATGGTATATGTACCTAACTACGAGTTGGCAGAGTAAAACAAAGATATTTTTTTGTACGAGACCAAATTCTAAATTAAGTAGGTACTAATGGATCGGTCAATTATCTAACCAGATAAAATAGCTACAATAATATAACTTAAAATTTGATTATATAACTTATTATGCTATATCTGAATTACATGTTCGTGATTATCTCTTTAAGCAATATGTTAATAGATCAAATGTGTTTACTTTGACGAAAATTAAACATTTGTCTTCACGTTATATTAGAAAATAATTAATATGGTATTATTAAATAGTACGAGTAATTTGTTGATGTAAAGTTCACGAGATTATACACAATTCTACCAAGTTTGATAGTGATCGGTGTAATATTTTGTGCTCTGCGATTTTTTCAAAGTTAATAGTGTAATGTCATAACGTACAAAAATGTGTGACGTAAAAAACGAGCAACGAAACGTCATCAAGTTAAATATTAAATAAACGTTTTAAAACTTAAAATTCTCGTTATTTAATTTCGTAAACACCTCGTAAACATGTTTTCTGAAACCATAATTACTGCAATGTATCTAAGATGCCAATACAAAACGCCCAATTACTAAAATATATTTTTTATTTACATTAATTATAAATTATATATATGTTAAGGTGTATGACCGCATGGCAGTGAATGTTGACATTTACCGATCATTTTGGTGAATGTTATCAATTGTTTCAAATATCTCACAAAGCGGACATTTACCAGTATTTTTTGACGTGTAGAGTAGTTATTTAGTGAATGTTGACATATCACAATATATACGAGGTGTGATCAAAAAATACCCGGACTGCGTTAATAATATTTATATCAGTTAAGATAACGAAATTCCGATAATGTCAT